TTGGCAAAAAAAATCAGATTTGTATTGACATCTGACAAGGATTTGGACAGGTGAATACAGTATTAAAAACTATGCGATGGAAGTCACTACTTTCTCCAGGATAAGGCAATATGCTGCATTCACGGGATGAAATGCCATTCATGTAGCAAAGAGAAATGTGTTTATTAAAGGTCAAACTGAAAGGAAAGGAATGGAAAGATTTCCCACTCACAGGAGGTCCGTTTATTCCACACCATTGCTCACCTCATCGGAGGTAATGAGCTCCATGACAGTCTGGTGGCAGAAAACTGGAGGTTCTTTCAAACAGAAAATTCTGGTATAATAAGAAATAGCATAGGAAAATAAAAGCAGTCTAATAATTCTGCATTTAACAAAAACCAATATCTACTATTTCTTTTGAGAAGATACGAACATAGGTCAAGTTAATTCAGACTAAAAATATTAGCAAACGAATTCCCAAATAATAAGCTTGCCAAAATCTCTGCATCAGAAACTGAACTATAAACCCACATCCTTTAATCTGACATAAGTATGAATGTGACCGGATGTGTACTCAGCTCTGTGAGCGTGAGATCATGCCCCAGTTTGGCAGTTCACCTATAGCCTGGTCCTGTAACTGTTGTCTGTGAGTAACAACCATACAAAGAAGGTGTGAAAATGGTGGTTTCAGGTGAAGTGACCTGTGAAGTGTGAAATAAGCTTTACAGAAAGAAATGCCTGCATCAGGAGAGATTATTTTCAGAATTAGTTTCAACACACTCATGTAAGTGTCTATTTATTGAGATGTTTGTCCTGGCATATTCCAACTTCGGTGTCAAAATCAGGTCTCTCAGCAGAGAGAAAAGGATCCCTCTGCAAGGCAGTCCAGGAGTCGAACTTGGGTGGTTTCTATTCTTCTGTACAAAAGATCACCTCTCTTTTAATTAAAAAACAAAAACAAAAGAGAGCTTTGTTCACTGTTTAGACACTATTAATTAGTGCCAAGCTATCTTGTACCAATTACTGCCTAGCTCGATACCTTACAAATATATATATATGCATACACTAGATAAAATAGACTTTGAAAAGAAGATATGCAATAAGAGAATTTTGTACTGCAGGTTGTAGCTGAAAAGATGTTCATGAAATGGCTTCTCTGTTCTTTACTTCTGACGTTCTTATCAGCTGCACTTCCTAAGGACTTGTGACTGTACGACTTCCTTTGTATTACTGAGTAACATGCCCAGATGCCATTTCCATGACTTCGATATCTTGACAGGATTTATCTTCTTGTGGAAGTTTGCCTATGTAATTTAGGAATGTGATTTCCAAGAAATATTTAGAAAGGAAGGAATGGTGCTTTCATATGGTAGTTCTTTTGAAATGGAAACCAGTTTAGAATAGGTTGCTCTGAGAAAATACAGGCAGTTATGAAGCCCACACAGAAAATTGGGAGAATTTTAAGAGTAAGTAGAGATTTTAAGCCCTTATCCAGCTCCTACAGGAATATATTTCTTCAATAAAGTAAGAACACCAGATTCTTCCTTTCTTCCTTCCTTCCTTTCTTCCTTTCTTTTTTTTCCTAAGGGGTTAAAAATGGTCAAGTACATTTGCAAAATATAAAAGCACTGCAAATAAATTATGGGACCTTCAAAAGGACAGTGCTTTTTTTCTCCCACTTTCCCAAAACAGAATACATTCCAAACTTCTTCCTCCTTCCCCAGTTAAGTTCTATATATCTGTCGTATATGAGGCAGAAGTTAAGATAACAGCACAATTCTAAGACATTCTATTTTTATAGCAGAAAAATCTAATAGCTTGAGACATTTTTATTACAGCACTGAATCTCTCCTGTGGTACCAGTCTCTTTCTGCCAGTGGATTGCTGATTTAGGGACAATACAGGTCTTTCCTGCATACTTTAAATCCAAGGTAAAGGAACTTTCAAGATTACTGCTCCAATCTGATATATTTAAGCAAAGCAACAGTGAATTCTTTCTCCCTCTCTTACAGAATCAGTATAGAATAGGTAATTAAATTGAAGTGTGGTTTTTGATACATTTATGTTACAGTGCTGCTTTTGCTGCATACGCTACAACTGCTGTAGAGGGAAAAGAGCTGCACTTGTTCTATTGGCAGGAGTGCTGCAGAAATAATGGCAAATAGGAAATCTTCTCTCCTGCAGAATGCAGAATGTGAATATCAGTAGCTATGGTGCACTTAAGGAGAAATTATGTTCAGATTTTTTCTATGTAATCTCTACAAATCCGAATCCATCTAATGGAGATAAAAAACAATATTCTTATTTTTTACCCAACTGAATCATACAATCATAGAATCAGCAAAGTTGGAAGAGACCTCTGACATCATCAAGTCTAACCATCAACGCATCACCACCAGCACCAATACTGCCCACTAACCGTGTCCCTCAAAGCCACATCTCCATGTTTCTCGAATACCTAAAGGGACAATGACTCCACCACCTCCCTGGGCAGCCTGTTCCAACAGCTCATCACTCCTTTTGAGAAGAATATTTTCCTAAAATCCAACCTTAATCTCCCCTGGTGTATCTTGAGACCATTACGTCTCATGCAATCACTGTCACCTCCAATCTCCATCTCACCACAACCTCCTTTCAGGTGTTTGTAGAGAGCGATAAGGTCTCCCCTGAGCTCTCTTTTCTGAATCTGGTTGTTGTTCATAAGACTTGTGCTCCAGACCCTTCATCAACATTACTGCCCTTCTCTGGACATGCTCCAGCACCTCAGTGTCTCTCTTGTAGCAAGGGGCCCAAAACTGAAGACAGTACTTGATATGAGGCCTCTCCAGTTCTGAGTGCAGAAGGGCTAATTACCTCTCTGGGACTGCTGACTATCTACTTTTCATGGATCCATGCTGACTGGGCCTGATCCTCTGGTTGTCTTGCACATGCTTTATGATGTTCTCATGAAGCAAAGCAAAACCTTCAGCAACTTTGAATAGCAGGTTTACTGAAATTATTCTCCCCTGATAAAATTATTTCTGAGAAGCTGAAAAAGAAAAAAAAATGGAGACAGTGAGATCAGTAAGTTTTTGTTTGCCTAGATATTTCTTCCAAGGGAACTCAGTACAAAGACAGTGTCTTGGTATAAAATGTAGCAAGTTTTCACAAGGACTGTGATCGCGGGTATCCTGAGCATGGATTTGGCTACAGGTAATTTAGGATTTTATATGAACTACAAGAATTCCAGGAACGTAGATCTGACTTAATATAACGGGGGAAATAAGAAACAAATTGAATTAGCACTTACAGAACAGTAAGTTACATACGTGCGTGTTCACTTTCCTATATCCTCCCATTAGCAAACACAAGCATTACTAAAAATGCATGACACTATCTGGAAAATCTGAAAGCTGCCTGCACCTTAGGACTAAAAAATAAAGATAGCACTCAATAAATAAATAAATAAGTAGCCCCACACTCCTCAACAGTGCTGAAGTTGCAGAACAGTAAGACAACCTTATTTTTGCTCTATGGCCTGTTTTGCACTGGTGATGCATACTGCCTGCCGTGGTATCATCCCAGTTTTGTTTTCCCTTAGATGAAAATAAGGGAGCCCAACTGTAGCCTGCCTGATTTGAAGGTAAAAAAAAAAACAAGTTGTTCTGACACTTCTCTGTTCCTACCTTCATCATTCTGAATCTCTGTCCAGTTGCAATTCAATATGACAGAGGAAGAAAGGTCCCATGTTGTCTTTCCACATGTTTAATGAATAGGTAGTGAGGAAGAAGGAAGTCCCATTTTTGCAGCTGTTGAGTGGCAGACTTATTTAGATATTAGGGAAATTATACAGTAACTCATTCTGAGGACACAATTCCATTGAAAAGCTGCTTCTGAAACTTCACATTATTATTAATGAGTTTGATAATAAGTTCTGATCACAGATCAAAGCCATACTCTGTTGAGTTTTGTACACAGATTATTACTGCTTCACTCATTTCATAAATCACAAATCAACAAATGGTGAAAACAAGAGACAGCAGCACTCAGTAATGTTGGCAGTACTATGGCACACAGCCTGTTATCAGTGCTTTTTCAAGCATTACCACAAAAGGAAATTTTAAAGTAGGATGAAATAATTTTATTCTCTTTTGTAGATGGTAAAACATAATTACTTTATGTAGTAAAACAGAGCTGAAGAAACAAAAAATTGCTGCTTTCCTTCTTGTTGAAACGTTACTAAGTCAGCCACCAGGACCACGGAACACTTAAGTGCATCCAGTTCTATGTATTGCATTTGCAAACTTCAAAGCCAGCAACTGCAATTGCTTTGTGGTGACTCATTCAGCTTACATGTGTGGTGTTGTGCCTAATGATACTGTCCTACTGTTCTTCCAAGCTCTATCCCTCTCTAAGCAAAAGAAAAGCACTAGGAAGGTATACACAAAGATAGATTTCAATCAGCAGAATAGAACACCCCTGAGGCTCTTGCTCTTTCAGCCTTCTACTCAGAATTAGCAATGCGCTGGTTTAACCCTTTGCATTGTGTCTATGCATTTGTACAAGTGTGTTGGCCAGAGATGTATTTAAGATGAGTAAATATAGACATATAATATAGACACAACTAAAGGGAATGGCAAGGGAAGGCTGAGCTAAAAGATCCCAACAAAACCACACATTAAGGTTGTGTACAATTCAGACATTTATCAGTGGTGTGCACACCCACATCTCTCCTTCCCAGTTTCAGTGTTCTGTTTGTTGGAAGGCTACTTCCTAAGGAGCACATCAGTTGGAGGGCTGCGTTTGCCTGAAGAGGATACTGATGGGGACATTGTTGAAAAGGACTGGACCCTACCAAGAAGAAAATGAAATGGGCGGTGCAGGGCATGTGGGATATCAGCAGGGAAGAAGGAAATTGAATTTCAGGAAGGAAAAAAATAAAAATAAACTTTGCATGCATCCTCATTTCAGTTTACTGTATGCCCTGCAGCTGGATGAAAACCTCATGCAGGGGAGAGAACACACAGAAAATCTGGGGTGGTTTGGGCTGGTTTCTCTGCATTTGTACCTCTCTTTCTGCAAACTGTAGAACAATTCATTTCTGTACCCCTCCTGAATTTTGTGTATCTGGCTGAGGTGGCAGCCCCATTTACATGAAGATGAGACATTTAGGCTCCATATCCTTATTTCCTCCAGTCTGTATCAAAGAAGTGAGAGCCTTTTTTTCTTTTTTCTTTTTATTTTTCACCACTAGAAACATCAAAACAGCCTGCAAAATTTCCTTTCAGTCTGAAAATAAATAGCAATATAAAACGTTCCTTTTTGTTCTGGTCCCAAGTTGATGCCTGTTATTGTCTTGCTAAGGAAACAAACTGCTAAACCAAACAAAAGCCAAAGGTATCGAACCTTCCTTCCCCAGGGCAGCTCAGTTGTCAACTCCTTCCTGACTGATGCTCTCCGGTAGAGACAACTGGCTCTGGTGATTGCTGTTCTTCCATTTGACCGTCAGCCTCTGGTGTGGTGTATCCCTTCACCTCCCTTGTGATTTCAAACTGGAGGGGTGAAGGGTCATTTCTTCCACTGTAGGCTGCATATAATAAAGAACACATTATAGAGAACACAAAAAGTACACTTGGAAAAACTTCAGTTGACATCTACTGTAACCAAAATATCTCTTCTCTACAACTGTAGAAGAGAGTTTAAGCAATTTCCCAAGGTTGCAGAGAGATTCTTCCTTTTTTCAGCAAGCCTTGATATTAGCTAGAAAAACATAACTCTTATTTTTTTTTAAATTTTTTAAAGTGTTTCTTACTGAAATTATCATTATAGCTCACAAGAAAGTCTTTATTCAAATTGTGGCAATTTGTAGGATTCTTGAAGTAAGCTTGGAGATATTGAGTCAATAACTTTACTCATATCAGTCTCACTGATATCAAAGTTGATTTGAAAAGCCAAAGAGTTGTGGGAGTTTTTGCTTTTTGCAATGAGATAAAAAAAGAATAACAACTGAGAAACACAGTTTAGGCAGTCTTATGTTTTAAGTTCTTGAATAAAAATCTTTCAGCTTATCAGGCCTAAGACAGAACCATATAAAAATACTGTGCAAGCTAGGAGGACTTCTAAGCTGACATAACGTTATCATAGGAACAAGGGAGTGAAACAAAAGTTGCAAAAAGCTTGTAGGGTCCAGCAGATGAACTAATTTTGACAAGAAGAGGAACCAAAGCAAAGGAAGCTGAAATAATCAGATTAGATGTATTGCAAAAATTTCTAAATAATGACAGGCATGAAAATGCTCACTCATTTTCTAAGAGAAGTAACCTGAATTGCAAAAAGCAGCATTCTCCTTAGCAAACACAGCTGGCAAGGGAAGCGTCAACCTGTTCTACACAGATCCAATTCATTCTTCCTGCAAACTGCATTGAAAATCCAGCCCCTATTTCTTTAGTAAAGCTATGGTTCAGGTCTTCATTGTTTTACATATTCACAGCTGAAGCTTCCTCTTTCTAGTTTCAACATTGCTCTCCCTGCAAAACTATTTGATACATTGCAGTAAAAAATATCTTGCTGACTTATCACTTCCATTATGTTTTCACTTGGTCTTCATCCTTTGTGTACTGCTTTCTTCTCCTGCTGCAACCCACAAGCTCTGTACCTTGCATTGCTCACTTCTCTCAAAGCACACCCTGGTCTGTACTTGCAGCTGACCAACAAGCACCAGCTGCTAGTGCACTCCCAGCACAGCTCGTTCCTCCTTTATAGTGATCCTTTTGCAGAGGAAAAGCTTCCCCTAAAGAAAATCTGCAAAGTAACACAGCTGCCTTCTTCAGATTTACTGCAGCCTTCGTATGTACATAATACCTGATAGTGACTCATTACCCCTCTTCTGTTGCTACTTCCTTCTTGCTTATTCTAAACTCTTAAGCTCAACTGGACTCTGCCTTCAGTTTTGCACATGCTCATTTTCTTACCACATACTCAGGTGCAAGGTGAGGTCTGTGCTTTTTTTCCTAAGTATGTCACAATTATAGAAACACTCCATTACAAGAAGAGAGATTAAGCTTCTCAGTTCATGTGAAGCCTGAGACATACATTTATGAAACGCAGCTTCTTCATGTGCTGCAGAGAGTGTTGAGCCTCTGAGCCAGCTCTCTCAGGGAGGTGAGGCAATGACCACTGAGATAAACATTTATGAAGAGCTCTGCTGTTATACGAGAAAGAAATAAAGTCCATAAAAGAACCAGTGACAAAAGAGCAACTGTGCCGCATTACAATCCACTTTATTAGGTGAAATGCCCAAGGTTTGATTCCTCTGACTGCCTCCAATCATCAGCTGCGAAAACACTGCCCAGGTGCCCAGGTGTTGCAGGGTTTGTTGCAGTGAGAATCTGCTCTTAAGGAAGATGAAAAATTGTCATGAAACAAAATCAGGAGAAATAAATTGTTGTGCATGAAATAGAGTCAGTACACCTGGTTTTCTTCTCAGAGCCAAACTGTAGCTTTGTCCATGAAGCACACTTGTGCTGTAGGTCTGACAGCAAGAGGAAGGAGGACTTCTGGAGGACAGGAATAACAGGACTTCTGGGTACTTGGTTCTTCAATTTGCAGTCTTCAATCCTTTGGGGCACACATTAAGGCCAGCTGTTGATATGTAGGAAAATCTGCCATCATGTGAAAGTTTTCACATAACCATAAAATTCCAGAGTTTTAGCTTTAGCCTTTCTGAGCACACACATGTAGAATCACAGAATCCTTAGAGTGGGAAGGGACCTCTGAAGGCCATCTGGTCCAACCCCTCTGCAACATACAGGGACGTAGAGCCATACTTTGTATGGAAAGGAAGAGGTAAGCGGAGGAAAAGAAAGTAGAAAAAGTCAAAAAAAACAAGAGGAGTAGTGGAGCAGAAAACTGCACAAAAAAATGAAGATTTGTAAGTAAGAACAGGAATTCCAGAAAGAAAGGACTCAGTCATCGGGAACCTGAGGCTACTTCCTCAATCTCTGCCTGCTCAGAGCTGATCTCGCTCCTTCCAGACTGAACAGAAACGATGGCAGAAGGCACTTCTCCATGTTCACCAACTGCTTAAGAGTGGGAGATGCACTCTATGCAGGCTTGGCAGAGACCACAATCTTCAGCCCAGAACATTTGCACATCCAATTCACTGCACAGTGACATGCTACTGACAGTCAACAGCAAGAAAACCATTTACTTCAGAGATTAGCTGTGGAAAATAGGAATGACTGTCCAGGACCCAATGGCCTGTAACAAAAGCAACTTCACTTTTCATTACTGGGCTCTTTCCTTGAGTAATTAATCTTTTCAGAAGACAGGGGGCCCTTACATTTATCTCCTCTTGTCTCTGTGGAACAGTCTTTCACCAGGTGAGCAGTCCAAGACACCTGCAGGAGTGTTACCTCTCAGAGCAAACAGGGGCAGCAGAAATGAGGCCTCGGAGTCTGAATTCTGTCTGAATGCTGAGGAGCCATTTCGTTTACAGTGGTCTCCATTTCCTGACACTTATTTAGCACCGTCATTATACTGCAGTGTTAGAACTGGAATATCATTTCAGGAAAACTGAAGCCACTTGTGAAAGAAAAACATAAATTGCAATAAAGAAGTCAACGTGAAAAATGTGTTGGGAATAACATAGAAACATTTGTTTCTAATACAAATACAGACTTAAAAGAAAACTGTCACGCAGAGAAATCAAACTGTGAGAAAACTGATAAAAGAAAAACGTGTACTGAGGAAGAATGAGGACCTTATAATGTGACATGCTCAGAAAGTATATACTCTAATTACACTTTCATAGCAGTGAATTTTTTTAAGACATTTGTTAACTAACTACAAGAAGTTTTCCCAAGAATCTGATCCAGTGATTATCAACTCCTACTAATCTGCTGCTTTCAACAATCCCAATATCAAAGCACAGCACTATGGCACTCTGTGGAACTGGCCCAAGTGATGTGAACAAGTACGGTATGGAACAGAACTCTCTTACAGATTTTTCCCACATTCTGTCTTATCATTTTTTCCTTTCACTTTCAGTAGGCATTTCTGAAGATGCCTTTTTCTTTCCCTGGAAATAAGTAATAAAATGTGTAAATTTTCCAGAGGTTTTACCAAGGGATGTTTCAAGCCTTTTGAAAACTAGATAAGCAAATAAATAAATATTTCTTTGAGAAGTACAGTCTTCTCCTTCATTCTGTTAAAAGCTGGGAGCCCTGGAAAACATGGCTGAACACCCAGGGTCTAGTTAGTGCAATCACTTACATTGTCAGAGCAGGTTATGACAGTGATGCTCTAAGCATCATCTGAGCATCACAGAAAGCATCCACCTGTGCTTTGTACTGCAGTCCAAGGAGCAGCTAACAGCAGCTCACCAGCTCATGCAGAACTGCCTGAGGCACAGCTCGACAAACTACAGGCAGGGTGGGTCAAGGGGCAGTGCCTGGGTGCACAACACTGTCCCCAGGTAGATTTTGAATGTTGAGCTCTGTAGCAGGTAAATTTACCCCTTTCTGCTCCATGGGGAGCAGAATCTGTAGCTGTGCTTTTGAAATGTTCCACAAAAAGTAAGGTTTGAGTAAATTGTCACTGAGGTCAAGACCACCTTTAGTCACCATTTCAGTTAGCTAGGGAGGGCCTCCAGAAAACTCTTTGCTGCATGACCCAGACCAAGGACTCCAACATTAATGGCATTTAGTCCCTCTTTTAAACCTTTAGTACCTTGAAAGTCTGCAACGACCCTAACATTTCTTTGCATTCTTTTCTCAAAATCAGTGCTTTTTTTCTTTTTTAAACATCTGAACTGCAGAAAAGGCTCCATTTTGAGACTACAATTAATTTGGTGTTTTGGTACAAGAAGATATAACACATCTCTGTATACAACACTGTACTGTTTAATTCTGTGAATAGCCAAAAGGCAGAACAGCAGTAAAAAAGATCAGCTATCAGCTTCACACCTGCTTGTGGCATAAAGTGCTCGAATGGAGCCCTTCTGTGCTCCACAAGAAATGGTTTCTTTTCTCACACTTCGTTATTTAGTCTGTCACTACGGACAGGTGTCTAAATAGTTCAGTTGCACTTTCATGTGGTATAACCCATGCTCTCTAAGCTGTCCCCTGCAGCTATTCAGGAGGTTGTTAAGGGATATGATCATTAATAAAAGAGTGTCAGTTTCATACAAGACTAAACACTGGAGAATGTAAAGATCTGGGGACTGCCTGAGAATCTTCCCTGATCCAATTAGCACAACAGCAGGTGATGGCAGAGATTAAAATGAAGAATATAACTTCTGTCCAACTTACTACTCACCACACTGATCATGGCTATGGCCTGATAGACAAATTAGCTGACTTACAGAAACACAAGCAGGAATTCAGTGGCTCAAGAAGAGTCTAGAAGAGTGTTCTGCCTTGCATACCACCAGAAGAAACCTCAGTATCCCAGGCTTGCACTATTCTTTGCAGCACTCCATGCAGAAAGGACTGAAAACCAGCAAATAGCCTGGGGAGAACTAAACAGCCTCTTCGATTTGCTTGGGACACAGGTTTTCACTGTCCTTGCTTCGGCTGGGATAGACTTAATTTTCTTCCTAGTATCTGGTATGGAGCTGTGTTTTGAAGTTAGGATGAGAATAACGCTGATAACAGCGTTGCATGGCAGTTTGTATATTGAGTCAAGGACTTCTTAGCTTCTTGCACTGCCCTGACAGCAAGGAGCTGGGTGTGCAGAAGAAGCTGGGAGGTGATTGAATGAGGACAGCCAAAATTGGGCAGAAGGATATCTCATACCGTGTGGCACCATGTAGAACAATAAAACTGGCCAGGGAATTGCTGCTGCTTGGAGACTGTCAGAGCACTGATCAATTGCATTATGCATCACTTGATTTTTTTTGTTCTTGTTGTTGCTTTCTTTAATATTTCCTCTCTTTATTCAACTGTATTTACTCCAATTCATGAGTTCTTGCACTTGGAATTTCCACTGTGGCTGAACAGCTGTGTGGTATTTAGCTGTCTGCCAAGTTCAGCCACAGCAGTGTCTTAGGAGAATTCAAAGTTGTACTGGCAGACAAGACGACTGTCACAGACAGAATTTTTTTTAACTGTTTGTACTGGCAGATCCATCATAAAAAGTTCCTTTTCTTCGCAGCACACAGATCTATTCTGGATCCAGAGTAAAGAGAGTTGGGAAGAGACTGAGACAAGTCCATCCCTAAACAAAAGGAGATACATCGTATACACTGCTCTTATCTCTATATACAGAGAGTATCCTACTCTCTTGTCACAAGAACAGCTTTCAAATGAGGCCATACTTTCTGAATATCTAAGTCATGTACTGAGTGCATGTCTGGATGGATCTCTGTTCCTTGGAGTGCCCAGGGAAAAACAAATACGTGGCTCTGTAAGAGACAGCTTAGCTGAATATGCAGCTGGGATTTTGGGCAGCTTTCCAACATTGTCCTGTGGCTCCCTTTCTACTACAGTCAGTGGGACTCACTCAGACGACCTGTTTTGATACCGCCTCACAGCATCTGAACTGCACTGAAAGAAACAGAATAGCTCTGTCTACTGAAGAAATAGACCAAATCAATTTGAAAGCACAAACAAGTTACAAGCAGGTGTGCAATAAAATAACACTTAATATTTAGCCCAGTACTTAATACATAGCCCAAATTATAGGTTGTATGAGATTAACAGAACAGAGTGGCTACATCCCAAAGATTCAAACATCTCTTCTTACCACTTTGGTGCCTGCTAAACAGAGGAGAAGATAGTGAAGGAATGGTACCTGAATTCTCATTCTGCAGTGACATTCAAATTGTATCACCTTTCAATAATATAAAAAAAATAATGGCTAGCCCACTCCACCAACAGAGAAGGTTGTACTGTACCATTTTGCCTTTTTTTCTTAAAAACAAACAACTTCCTTCCAAAATAACCCACAGTTCCCCAGACTGAGCTTTTCTGAGTGGTAGTCCCAGCAATGATGGCAATACATCAGAAAAACAACATTTTCTCCTCAAAGGACAATGGTCAGAGATATTTACTCTTGGGAAATGAAGTTCTTTGCTTTTGTAACAGATCTGGCAGCACATAGTCAAAAGAGATCTGTAATGTAGGAATAAGAAATGGACATGCTTAAGCAATCTTGCTTGCTCTCAGTCTCAGTCTTACGTATCTACAATGTGCTGCAGTGAGAAAATCTTAACAAGAGCGTAGCATTCTCAAGATTTGGGGTGACACTTTACCTTCAAACAGAAGCAGTCAGAAGTAAAAAACATTAAAAACAGAACACAGCGCCACAGAAGTGACAGCCATTTCCCAGATGCCAAAGCCAGAAGTCTGCTGGCTAAGGCTGAATTAAGAAGATGCTAATTGTGTGGGCTCAAAGATTTTTGCAATTCTCCAGCTTCCTGATATGATAATAGCCATGGGTCAGGAGAAATGAATAGCCATACCTACAGCATGAGTTCTACTGAAAGCTCAAGTGCATTTGCTATTAATTATTTGTCACTGCAGGTTCACCATCATTAATGCCAGGGCTATGCATGATCACTCAGCAGCACTCATTTGGTTTAGATCAAGTGTAGTATTTTTGGCACATTAGCTAGAGCATATATTACAGAATGCTTATTATTCTGGATTTGTGGGAATAAGTAATATCTGATCTGACATAAAGCATGCTAGTACAACATCAATCTGTTAAATCTACCGCTTTTAAACGAATCTGGATTACCTCTGTGACTTTACACTGGATCATTGTTGCCAGAACTTCTCTTATCCCGTCCTCAAAATTATGAAGTTGGGTTTACAATAGAGTCAACAGATGGCCTCAGCTGAACTCTTAAAAATGAATCTGCTCAATGCATTGCACACCACCTGCTACCATGCCAGTAACTACATCAGTAAAGAAGTATGTTCCAGTGTCAGCTGGAATTTTCCTAGACCCTATTCCTCTTTCTTCACCAGTAGGCAATATCCAGAAGGGTGAAAAAGGATGAGCATAAGATTAAACCCATTAGTGATATTCTTAGAGCACTTAATTTCCATCCTTGGACTTATTTAGATGCTATTTGTGATGCACACTTTTTTTTCCAGCAAGGACTGCTGAGATGAAACATGTACACAGTCTAAAGCTAAAAGAGATCCAGTGGAAAACAGAGACACAGTTTGAGGCAGCAAATGTTGGGGGCCAGGAAATATTCTGCAAAAACATCATGCCACATAGGAAGATAAATATGCAGCTGAGAGGCAATGATACAAGAGTTACAGCAGATAGGAAGAAAACAGCAGATCTAGAAACCATTACCACAGCTACTTCAGGAAAAGCAAACAGTAATTCATGTCAAGAAGCAATGCTAACGAAGGGTTGGTTGTTTGTAGTGTTACAAATGCTTGCAAAGTTTCTCAGTTCACATGATCATAAGCTACAGAAGCTGGCTGCCACCCTTGTAGCCAGGCTATATAAATAATGAAGAGCTGATTGCAGCTGGCACATAATCTTGGGATCATTGATAAAGCAGTAGTATTAGACTCAGTTATTAGAGGAAAGAATTAGCCTCATTTTGAAGCTAAAGAGCAAACCCAGTTTTGAATAAGAAAATTTAAAAAAAAGCAAGTAGTGCCATTTGAAACATTATGGATAATGTAGAGAATATCAAACATGAATGGCCAGCCAGCATGTCAGGGAAAACTAGGCTTAAATAGTGAATTATGTATCACATTTCTTTTCAAAGACCAGGTGGAGAAAAACAGTAATCAGAAAGTTTCCCAATGCTCTCAAAGTAGATTTCTTTCTAAATAGTATCTATAATTTCAAGAAAAGGGTCTCCAGGACAGCAAATAGAGTTTAGAAGCAGAAGCTCTGTGTTTATCAGTCCATCTCAGCCTGCCCAAGCACAGGATTTACGACACTGAAGTTGGTTAAACCCAGGCAGATCTGTCAACCCAAAGCCACTGCACAGAGCACTGTAAATAACAGAGGACACTAAACCTGCCCAAACAAGCCTTCCTACTTTATATACCCGGGCCTTTTGTGATATGAGACAGGGTTTCTACAGTGACAAAGGGTACAAATCAAACATTCAAACCTTTATCACATCCCCAGGTACAATTGTTAATGGAAGGCAGGACCTTTGCTGCCTGCCAAGGGATTCTATGTCAACTGAATGGGATCCAGACAGGCTCATTGTCTTAAACATCATGACTCCCCACCTAAAATACAAGAGGTTGAGAAAGAAGGCATCATGGTGTGACAAAAATGTCCTGGAAAATCGATTATTAAACAAAACGTTTACATGCCATAGCTGAGGAGAACTGAAGTCTCCTAAACCTTTGGTTATCCTTTGAGGAACTAAGAATCATTAAAGGCATACTCACAAAATTCCAGCTTCTGCATTAGACTCCCAGAACTTGTGAAGCTTTAAAAAAATTGGATTGTAATGAGTCTAACTGTTCTCACAGCAACCAATAACTGAAACCTGAAAAACAAAGTAGAAAAGTTGTGAATTACACATAAATTTTGAAGTATTACATCCTTTCAGAGTCCTTACAGCAACGGTTTCTTGCCCCAGAAGGCATCCTGGGAAGAGCTGAACTGATGTAAAACTAATGCTCTATAAGATAAGTCAGAAGACACAAATGTGCATGTATTAAAAAATAAGAATATTTTGTACTCTTGGGCATGGAGCAAATCAGTACACTGAATTGACAGTATGCACATTGACAGATGATGCATTGAATATGCATACACAGATTAATTGCAATATTGATTGGACATATCCTCATTAACTAGCAGCTCCATAGCTTTCATGATGCAAAAGCATGCACTTGGATTAACACTTACCTGCATCTGCTTGTACAACAGGCTACCAGCCTGCTGCTATTTTGGGAGAAGGATGTGTAGAAACTGCAATTGCCTCCATGGGTTGCCTCAGAAAGGATAAGTCTTACGAAATAGCCATGTTTCAGTTATTTATTATTATGTGTTATTCTGCTTCTCTGTTTTCCTGTTTTTCTTTTTTTTCGTACCAAGATATTATTTGAGCCAATTGGCTCCTGTTTACATGTTGAAAATTTAACTCACTGCACACCAGGAAAGTAGGTTTAATACTACAAAGCTTATGGGTGTAGGGTTTCCAATTGATTTTGTGATTGAGAACTGACTTATTGGTCCCAGTGAAAAATTCATCTGTGGTTCAGCAGTGACTCATTTAATTTTTTTACTAGTCACTGTCATTGCCAGTCCAGTCATGAAAGAATGTTTCTTGGCTTGAGTTGGAAGGGACCTTCTTCAAACATCAGTTTTCCACATCCTATGAAGCAATAAGAAGTCATTTCCCAACATAAGAGCAGGGCTATGTATGCGTCAATGATATGAGAAACAAAGTCAGGATCCCATGCAGAACCTTCCACAAAACGTCCATCCCAGCAAGGAAAGGTATAAATGGTTCAAGCAAAACAAAACAAAACAAAGCAAAACCACACTGCACAACAATGAGACTACAAAGGCAGAGGCAACAGAGTGTGGAAAAAAAGGAGTGAAGATTCAGAGGAAACTTCAAGAAATTATACCTTACTAAAAGCTCTATCTGAAGCACCATGGGAACTAGGTATGTAGTACACAATGGACTCATACATTGATTCAGATCACCTGCACAAATTCTGCATATATACAGCACACACAAGGGTATCAGTTTTGTGTAAATATATTCCCTTCTGTTTTCCCTATTTGTTTTATCTTCCAACTTTAGTCAAGAGTAGTGGATAACAAAATGGACAATGGAATAAATGAAATACAGATATTTAAAGCATCCCAAGCCAGCAAATTAAACAAAGTAATTTGCTGAATTCCTTCTGAACTTCGTGCAAACCTGTACAGAAAACATTCTTCATTGCTAATCAAGGAATGTTGCATATGAACTAGAGTAATCGTTTATAACACAAAGCAAACAGTGCCTGTAAAGCTTGGGACCATTTTAGTTTTTTTTTATGCATCTTGAAAGAAAGTGGATTGGCCTTCAGTTGTGAAGTCTATGAGCAAAATTTTAAATATGCCTCATCTCAGTTACAGCTTCGGAAGTGTAGCTAAATACACTGCAAGTGGACAAAAAATATATATCTTTGCCTTTGTAATAGGACTCTCAGGGGGCTCTGATCGTTAGACTGTGAGTTAGCAACATCTGGAAAACATTAGGGAAATGCCCTAGGAAAAGGCTACCTCTCTGAATCGCTTAATTTTCAAAGAACGCACAAAAGACTCAATGACTGCAAGAATCTAGCTTCAGTATCTGTGTTCCTCTTGCATAATTTGGTCTGCTGCCAGTTTCTGAAGGTTATCTTAAAATGAAGATCCTTTCAGAGGAAACATTCAGATACCTCAGAGCTTTAAGGAAATGCACTGCAGACCCTCCCTTGGACAGTGCTAATCAAAAACAAAAATACAATTAGGAAGGAGTTTGTTGAGATATCGAATATAAAGCACAATAGATTGCAGAATGTTCCAGTTCAGAAAAATAAAACAAACTACTTAGATTTTTTCACTGAATAACAAGATAAATCAATTTTTCACTGAAGAGAATATATATATTTCTAATAAACAAACAAACAAACACAACAAACCAATGGACAAACAGTTTTGAAAGCTTGGTTCTTTGTCAGGTTTTATCTGGAACAAGATTAAGGAGATGATTAGAGATCTGTAGGGCTGAGAAATTAGGAGTCCTGTTGTTGTTATGAGTCAATGAATGTTAACATTGTTAAGGAATCACAGTGTAATAGAATGCCTTGGTTTGGAAGAGGTCTTAAAGATCATCTAGTTCCAAAGCCCCTGCTGTTGGCAGGGTTACCACCCACTAGATCAGGCTGCCAGGGTACCATCAAACTTGGAAGATAAATAGCACAATATAATTTTAAGTAATCAGCAGCTAGGCTTCTTACTTTGAAGGAGACAAATCTTTGAGCAATATGGTTTTCCCTCTTAGAGATGACTTCTTACTGAGACACCTAAACAGTTTTGACATCCACATTATTGCCAAATTCTAAAGATGGTTAAGGACATGATAGATATGACTGCGACAGAGCTGTTTTGCCAAGCAGCAAAAATTTGCAGGAAAATCTTAGACTGCTTCCACTTTTTTTTTTCTTTTTTTTTTTTGGGGGGGGGGGGGGGGGGGGGGGGTGAAGGGGGATTGTATTAGGGATCACTCTAGTAGCCTTTGAAAGACATAAAAGATTGGTGTAAATTCAAGCTTCTTAGAGTAGATTTCCTGCAGAAATGAATATTTTATATATATCTATATTTTTCCCTCTGGGTTCTTTCTTCAAACAAGAAGCAAGCAAGCTACATTGCACTGATTAGGACAAAAAAATCTTATTTTCCATGTCTGTGCCCTGAAAGAAAAAAAAAAAAAAAGTAGATGAAAGTATGGTGTTGATACTTCAATAAGTAACAAATCAAGCTTCCTACCATGTCAGAGTTTATCAACAAAGTGGCATACTGAATTAATAGTTGCGAGATAGCAATGCACAGCTCGAGAAAAAAACAGAAAGGTAATTCTATTTCCTTCACATCACCAGAAAGTCTCTAAGAATTGGTAAGGATCCGGTGGCAGCAGACCACCAGACATACTAGTTTGTCAAGGAACAAAGCTCTCATAGTGTGATGGGCAAAAAAAAAGCATGAAATTCTTATATAGAATGTTTTAGTCTTGAAAAAAGGCAGGCATCTGATCAAACTTCTAACTATTAATTAGTTGTCAAGCAATTTCACTACTTCTACTATATTCAGATCCTATTATGACTAATTTCAGCCTAATACCATCTGCAAGGCAGCCTGAATACTTCACTTCCATTCTGGCCTGTACAGCAACAGATTACTCATTAAACAGCATAATGATCTGCAAAGAATATTGTGGAAAACCAACTTAGTACAGGTTCATTGGAGGTCATTAGAGAATGACATTTGCTTCTGCAGATGCATTGAAATCAGCTGGGTTGCTAACACTAGCCAAAGATCTGGTTTTGTGTGCATGGGCTAATCTCTCCTTAATCACTCCCACATAGATTAAAGTTTGTATTTAGTTTTCACAGTAGAAGTAAAAGAGAAGCTATCACTGGTAATAACAATTCTACTCACATATTGGATCAGGTTCATTCCTGAAATAATTTCAGTTGAAGTTGTTCAGACTAATATATGCAATAATTAAATCCACTAGATTTGCCCATTGCATTCTATCTTGGGTCGTCCTTATATTCTCACTAGCCAGCAATAGATGTAACACACTGTAAGGAAAAGAGTTGCACCCAAGTGAAAACACATGCTAACTAAATTATAATATGTGCAAGAAAGTATGTTGACAACTGCAACAATTAACATAGTAACCTGGCATTCTTGTGTTCCATGTCTGACAATACAAAGCATAAGAAGCAACTAGAAATCCAAAGGAAAACTGAAGATGCAATCCCTGAAGAGAAAATCTACAAAACAATCCACATCATTTTACATTAAAAGCGCACAAAAATATATAGCCAATTCCATCAGTTACCTCATATCAACACTTTTTCAAATGCAATGAGAAAAATACTCAAACCTCACCTCATCCATCTGAATACAGGTGAGTAAGAACTCTGATCTGAAGGATGAATGAACCTTTGAACAAGTCATTGGAGAAAGGCAGAAAAACTTACCGTGATGCAAAAGATGAACTGCCACTCCATGCACATCTCTCACTGCCCTATTCTACCCTAAACTAAAAATTCAGTGAAAAAAATCTTAGAGTTACAATCTAAGCTAAAAAGAAACATCATATTGTGCAGGAATTTCGCTCACAAACTCCTCTCATTGCTGTTAAGTAAATTTTAGATACTTGGCTGTCCTGATTGCCAGCAGCAAATTTTCTTTAGGTTACCATACATCAGACCATTATGAGGCAAAACCACTTCCAGTTTGTCAACACATTTCCTGCAGTAAAAGCTACAGAGGAACCAAAGAGTTATGCAAGTCATCCCGTGCATCAAGTGTCCTCATAAGAATTACCTTTGTGGAGTCAAAGAACACACGCTAAACTGAGCTCATCCAGGCAAAGGAGATCACATCCTACCACAGTTTATTTGCACTTTTTTCATGGAGTGATGGTGTTATGTGTGACTAGTCAGCTCTTTGGCAACCTGCAAACAAACGATAGAATCCAGGTGGGGGTTACACTCAATAACCCTTTTCTAGAATAAGTGTAGCACAGCTAAGAGATGCTGACTTTCCAGGACAATACGATTTTCCCCATTCCCTCTCCCTGTCAGCTTCCCATTGTGCTATTGCTGATTATTACTCTCTCTTTACCTCACAGAATGAAGCATTCTAGGAGATTCCTTTGTTTCTATGAAGTCACATTTACTCCCCCCCCAGTTCTCCCTGGTCAAGGCTTACTTTTTTTTTTTTTTTTTTCCTTCTACAGTAGGTCAACACGTAAAAGAAACAGGTTCT